TTTTCCATTGCATCTTTAAATGTTACTACCCATAAAGGCCCTGAAACAATGAGTACTTGGACCCTTAGGGAAATGGTGCTTCCCAATATAGAAGCGCGACAGTTTCCTGTTTCTGGTACTTAATAGACCCTTTGGGAACCACCCTGAAGCCTAAACCCTAAACCATAAGGAAATCATACTAGGCAACAGTAGAAAGGAAGGTTTTATAGGGGCCAGGCAATCCCCAAACCCTAAACCCTAAACTTTAAACCCTAAACCCCTAAACCCTCAACCCTAAAACCCTAAACCCTAAAACCCTATAAACCCTGGGAAGCCTAACCTCTCCCCTGCTTCTTCTCAGCTCGCTCTAATCCGCTTCCGGGAGGACTTCCCCGAGCCGCTCCACTCCTCGGATTCAGTTTTCTTTCCCACAAACAAAGATAGACACACACGTTTGTACTATATCTAAATACATATATATATATATATAGCATAGAGAAGAAACAAATTCATGTATTTAATTTATTTTCTTACTTACCTGAGTATACTTAGAATACAACCTGTGTTCACAAAGTGTGTTTGTCGGTTCGGATGTCGATTTTAAATTTAGTCGTGCTATTTTCGTTGTTCTAGTGGTTGCAGTCGCAGGACTCCTTTTTGTATCGCTTTGGCGGTCAAGAAGGGGTTGTGGGGTGTAGTAGAGGTTTTCAGACGACAGGGCTTTTTAATAATTTCTCGCGCGTCGTGGTCTTTCGAAGTATTTAAAGCATCGGGGGGACAAACCTTCCATAAGGCTTTAAGAGACTTTCAGGTTACCAGGTTCGTGCAAGCAATGCGGAGGCCTTGATAATTAGAATATGGCTTGGGTGCATAATAGACCATAATTATCCAGAATAGTATAGGTAATTATGAAGGCTCCTACAGTATTCTAGCAAATCGAACACAGAGCACAGCTTGGCCAGGATTCCAGCAGCTGCACGATCTCTGCATGACCCGCGGCCCGTGCTAGGTCCAAGGGTGTGTCGTCTGAGATGCATGCCTTGTTCTTGTCTGCCCGCGCCTGTAATAAGAGGCTGACCGCTGAAGCATGGCCTTCAAGCATCAGGATTGTTCTGCTCGGGGAGATGATGTAAGGGCTTAAAGCCACCCCCAAAGAAAATAAAACAATGGCCCAACACCTATAAAACCCTAGGGCTCCAGTTACGTAAATAGTGGGTTACTAACCATATATTATGCAGCCCAGTAACCTACTTTTTAACTGGAGCCCCAGGGAAAGGCTAGTGTTCTTCATACTTTGGGCGTCCGCATGAGGCTTCCAGGAACTAACTTTGGGGCCTTATGGAGATCTGCAAAATCCCAAGGAAGCCCAAGAACAAGCCCCAAAACACCCAGGGTTTAGGGTTTAGGGGTTTAGGGGTTTAGGGTTTAGGGTTTAGTGCACTTGAAGGAACCCTATTCAATTTAGTAAAGCCCCAAGCTTGCTTTGTGCACCAGTCACCTGGGGCAGATGCCAAATGAAGAGGCGTCATACCATCCTCGGTGGGCAGAAGTAAGCTTCTGAAAATGCTTGTGACTAACAGTTCGCGGGTTTGGGGTGTAGGGTAGGGAAAATGACACCCTGTTGAACCGAAATAATTAAAGGAAAGTTGAAAACATGCCAGCAGTCAGCCTAGCATCATGACTGGAAGCTTGATCCCTATCGGCACAGCTTTCGAGCAGCTTCTGCACGATTTCGTCATAGCCCCGGGAACAGGCCAAGTGCAACGCCGTATGCCCTGTTGCGCGGACAAACTCCACGCCTGCCCTCGCTGCCAAGAGCTGATTCACGGTGATCGCTAATCCCTTCTCCTTACTTAGGCTGTGTCATATAATATACCTAGAGCTCCAGTTACCTGAATAGTAAGTTACTAGCCATATAGTGTACACCCCAGTAATACATTATATAGGCAACCAAATCCCGATAGGGATAGGGATTGTAGTAACCCCCAAAAATGTTCAAAATGCTAAAGAGTGCATACGTTCCGCCAAGTCTCCGAAGCCACGTGGAGAGGTGTGTTGCCCCTGGCACAAACATGATTTGGATCAGCTCTGCCACGCAGGAGCAATGGGACCAGTGCCGTCTGCTCGGAAGCAACAGCATAGTACAGAGGAGTTGCTAGATGGCCCCCGAAACAGCTGACAGTGTCGCAACCAGCACGCGCTTCCAACAAGAGACCCGCAACAGACTGGCAATCAATCCCGCACTCAATCGAGCTAGTGCCAGTGACGGCGGCGAACAGAGGGGTCATGCCTCTGCATGATCGATCTTTGTCAGCACCGGCGGCTAAGAGCAACTGCACAATGCCCAAAGAACCCTTGGATGCTGCCACAAACAATGGAGTCTCGTCTTGCACTGCACGATCGGCATGAGCCCGGGCTTCGAGCAACAGCTTCGCTATCTCAAGGCATCTGTAATAAGATGCTACAACCATGGGGGAAGATAGCGGAGTTGTCAGGGCTTCTGGGTCGTGAGGGCCTTGTAGCACTGACTCGACATAATCAGCATCCCCGCGTCTTATGGCCGCATTCACGCGCTCTTTGTCACTGTCAGAACTGCGGCAGAAAGGCAGCAAGACCAAATGAAGGTCTTGTGGCTCAATCACAATGGCACTGTCCTGGAGGATAGTCCCGTCTCGGAGCAGTCGCTGTCGAAATCGCGAAGCACCGCACACTTTGCTTAAGCGCCTCTTCAGATGTTTCACATCAAACACGTTCGCCAGCTCCTCCACAGGAAAAGATGTTAGCTTGTTACCCGAAGCTTGCCAAATGTTTAGCATGCTGTGGACCAACAGGTCACATCCACTTGTACTTCCCGCGCGCGTCGCCAAGAAGTGTCTAGGATGCTGGTGCCCATGGGACGATTCTGTAGTGATAATGGGGAAGCATTGATGCGAATGTGATGCTGATAACGATGCTGCTGGTGAACGGCACGACAATCCTCTGAGAAATGGTTGACGGTGTTCTCTTCGGGTCCATCCTAAACAGTCGGATTTCCACACTAAGTATACACTAACCTAATCTCGACCCTCAACTCTAGACGCTCGGGCCAAAAGGCAGCCTCAACATGGTCTCAGGCAAAGGAGTCGGTGTTCCCCTTTCAATTACACACAAAAATAAAAAGGGTCTACCCAAGCTCATGTCAATATTGCCGGTCGTGTTATTCCCTCGACCCCACAAGCCTTTACTGTCGCCTGAGCGACTGCTGCTGATGCCACGATTTGTGGGTATTGATCTGATGCTGACACGTGATTTCAATCTTGTCATCCTGCTGCCAAAGTGGGTGAAGCCTACACCGAATCTAAAGCGGCTTTGGACTACAGGGCTTAGCAACTGCAGGATTCAGAGAAGTTCGAACTCAGGTTTCGGGCTTGGGGTTCGGGTATCTCTGCATGATGCCTGGTAGGTGATGCTTCGCTCCCGAAGAGATGTAAATCGCTGTCATTAGAGGTCTTTACATGGCATCATCCCCGCACGACAACTGCCAGAACCCCAAAACTTGAGACCCTAAATCCTGAACCATAAAGCCCCCATAGGCCACTAAGTAGTTCCTTCTCGGGGATTACCTTATAGGATTCTAAATATAAACCAGATTCAGAAACTACTGAGGGGCCTATGGGCAAGCCTCCATAAACTTCCCCAACGCAATCCATGTCTGAGGCCATGGCTTCCCGAGGTGGGCTCAACTCACCGCGCATGACGGGCTCTTGCTTCTTCCTTGAAACCCTAAACCCTGAACCCTAATTCCTAAACCGTTTAGGGTTTAGGGTTAAACTTGAGGTATGGAGCAGACTTGAGGCCTAGTAGCGGTTTTAGAGTTCCGAACTGAGGTTATGGGTTTGGGATTTTTGAAGCACATCGAGTATTTGGCCACAAGGGACAGCTCTTTGCATGGAGCTAGCCTGACCCGTTGCGGCAGTAAGTTCGAGTTCATCAACATAGCGCACCCCTCAAGTGTACAGCATCTCATCTTGCCGCACTACTGTTGATGATAGAAATCCTGCATTACCTCAGGGACCCTAAACCATGGGAATTATGGTATATATTCCTTATTGTGGATATAGTGCGGGATTTGTATCATCCACCGTACCAAATTACCTGCTCTGGCCATGCGCCGTGCGTTGCTATCGTTTACCTAGGAGCTTCCATTTGGTTCCGCAGCGGCTCTATTCGGCTATTAACCCTTACCCTCATGATTCATGTTTCCAGGCTTTGGGGCCCAAAGACCCTATTATGTAAGGCTTTTGGGCCGTTTTGATGCTTAGGGTAATAATAACCTCGAACCTCCGTTGCCCTATAGTTACTAAACTTGACCACAACGCTTGCAGCCCGTGGCCAAAAGAAGCCGAAACAGCAAGCATATGCTATCATGATAGCTAGTAGCAACGGGTTAGTACCTGTCGGCTCATACCCTCCCCCTTTTGTAGGGTACCTGCTTGTCTATGTATATAACCAATGCTGATCATAAAACCAGGTACTTTAAAGAGGGCCAAGGTTTGACCCTCCAAGTATTGTAGTAGCAATAATAATGGCAATGGTGATAACATGATTATATACTACTGAATACAAAGAATAATCCCAACCCATAGTGTAAAAAAGTAAACTGAATGCTAATCGCAAGCGCAGCATCGATACGTGTCGGTGAAAGGTGGCACTCAGGAGGACCCGCAACTACAGGTAACAAACCCAGCCTTCGGAGGGACCCTTGTGGAACTCAAAGCACTTACGGAAAGCCTCGCAGGGGATGAGGCGATACTGTAGGTACCAGATTTCCACGGGACTCCTCAAATGCCAAACATGGCCGGGGCAGGCACAAAGTCGAATCTCGCATGCCTAAAACGCAAAACCCGATCCCCCACGTTCTTCCGAGCTCTGCTCTTACCCTAAAGGTCCAAGTGCCCAATATTCATATACTCTCCCAAAGAATAGCCTAGATATCTGCTATCTGCAACCAAAGTACCTCATTATTGGGTCCTTTGGACCCTTAGGGTTACCCATAGGCCCCTAAGTAGTTCCTTTTTATGGTTTATACTTAGAATCCCACAAGGTAATCTCAAAAAGGAACTGTTTAGGGGCCTATGGGTAACCACCAGAGGAACTGACCTCTTCGTTCGTGCTGCAGCCGCCTGGGCCGCGCAGGCAGATAGGAGGACCTCAGAGAGCGTTCTTTTGGGCGTTAAACCCTAAACCACCAACACCCTAGACCCCTAAACCCTAAACCCCGAACCCCCTAAACCCGAAATCCCGAACGACTAAACCCCGAACCTGTCACACAGCAACCTCTAGACCCCTAAACCCCTAAATCCGAAACCCCTACCTGTACCCGAAAAGACCTACCTGTTTTAAGAAATTATATACAAAAACCATAATAAGGAACCCTGAAACGGTAGATCTTTTCGGCCACAGGTAAACCCTAAACGCCTTAAACCTACATGTAAACCCTGAACCCCCGAGGATGGAAGGAGCCCAAAGGTCGGTTCTTTTGGGGGATAAACCGCCGTACGATGTAGGGACAGCAAAGTTTTAGGGTTTAGGGTTTAGGGGTTTAGGGTTTAGGGTTTAGAGTATTTAAGAATTCTGGGCAGAAGAGTCGTACTATCTAGGGTGTATGGGAGCTGGGGGCGTTTGGGCAGAAACATCGTGCATCATCGTGCTATAGAGGGTTTAGGGTCTAGGGGCTTCTGGGCAGGAAAAAACGTACTATGCAGGTACTTCAACTTCGGCACGCTGGCGTTTAGGGTCAATGGTTTTAGGGTTTAGAGTTTAGGGGTTATATAAGTTTAGGGTTTAGGGCTTAGACTATACGGCTTACCTGGACCCTGAAAAACCAAGTTCTTCAGTACTTATTCTGTAAGGAAATCATAATAAGGCACCCCAAAAAGGTAGGTCTTATAGAGTCCCGGTAGGGCTTGGGTTTGGATTTGGGGTTTAGGAGATACGGTTTAGGGTTCAGGGTTGAGGTTTGGGTAATTACTACAAGAGCTTGAACTGTGCTTGTGTGTTGCTTATTTTGGTGCGATGCTCGACCAAGTTGCATCTCAACCTAGACACTGTACATAGCTTGAATATTGCATCTGACTGCAGATTGCTTACTGCCCCAATGTTAAACCCTAACCAAAAGGCTCTTACGCAAGAGACTTAACATTAAGGGCTTATAATAAATCTAAAAACCTGATTCAGGGTCTAGCCTCGTGCAATCGCTGTAGCGCCACTCTCTCGGTCAATCTGAAACTCCTCCACCGATTCAAACCCAAAAGGCCTGTACGCCTCCGCCATCGCAGTGAGGGTCGGGGACTGGGTAGCGGGGGAGCCAGGGGAGGGCAGGTGCTGTAAAGTATTACCTTACCTTATCCTGAAAGGACTCATATTTTAAGGCTTTTGGGCCCAAAGACCCTATTATATGAGGCTTTTGGGCTATTTTGATGCTATAAGGGTTAGGAGCCCCAGCAAAGTCCAGTGAACTGCGCTTGGCTTCCGCGTTGTTGGACTTCGGGGCTTCAGGAACTCACAGTCCTTCTAAACCCTAGGCCCTTACCTCACCTAGAGGCTCCATATACACCACTATTCACTATTCTGGAATTAGGGCCTTAAGGCCGTAATGAGGATGGTCTTTGGGGACCTAGTTCCACATTGGTAGTCTATTTGGAGCCTTTGGGTCAGGTTCAGGGGATTCAGGGGTCCGCAGTTTAATTCTGGGCCCTTTCTCGTGTTGCAGACACAGACGACAAAATAGACTCTCGATGTAAATGCGTACGAGCTTGCCGTCTGCCTCCAGTTAGTTACAGCTGCGTTACCGGGAGACCACACGAAAACAGAAACAACGATCTTGCACATAGAGTCCTGTGCAGAGACACAACGCACTCGGGTCGCTATACTACAAGTCTGGTATCCCTCCGTTGATGCAGTCTGTTCGGGACTTTTTGAGAGTGTCTTATCACTGCCTTTTTTGCAGCTCCTTCAATTCTAACAGAGCCCGTGCGTTTCACAGAAGCTGTCGCTACATTCATGATGCTTCTCGAGAAGCCTGTGAATTAATTTCATGCCTCAGCCATGTCGTGTTCAGCCAATCGGGCTCCAGGGCATCGGGTTTGGGAGTCCGGTTGAAGTGCGCATTAATTGTATTCTACTCGGTGAGAGGGGCCTGCTGGACAAAATACGAAAGTTGCTATAAAGCACAAACCCTACTTAAGCGAACAAAAAGTTTTTGCTTTGTAGAAATCCCTTGGAGTTTCATATGAATACAGAATGGAAAATACTTCGGAAAAGCACTAAGCCCACTAAGCCGTAAGCTTTGAGTCCCGACACTCAATCTGGTGATTCGCACTGCTCTGGACCACACATGGTGCAGCAAATCTGAAGCATTACTTAAAGCACAAGAGGCACACACACACACACATCCAATCGTTGGGACTGCTCTGGACAAGATTTTTCTATGAGGTTTCATCTGTGCTGACAATAAAGCAATGTACAAAAAGTCGATGCTAAAAGCGCTATAGTCAGAAAACATAGGAAACTGCAACATCAAGACATGACTCTGGCAACCAGTGCCAGTCCTGCTCTGCAGGGCTAGCACGGATCAACAATTCTGTGCCGAAAGCACATAGGCGAAACATTGACATACCAGGCTGGGCCGTTGAGATCAACGCTTTAGGGCTTTAATGTTCTAGAGCTTCGGGTTTACGGTCTAGCAACTTGGTGAAGGAACGTCCGCCATTGCAAGGAAGAACATCCCAAGCCCTTTGTGCAACAGTCTCTTGCTGGTTCATTCCGCTCAAACCCA